CATGGCCAGCGAGCCCATGACCTTGGCGGTCCTGTCTCCGCGAAAGGCGAGGGTGAGGAGCTGCGTGTTGCGGGGCGTGTGCACCAGCAGCCGGCCGCGGTGCTCGCGCTGCAGTGCCCCGCGCAGCCGAGACATCTCGTTCTGCTCCCCGTGCACCAGGACCTGACACATCACACTCACATCTATACAGGTTCCGTAACTACTCGCACGTCCGACAGACCACAGTCGCTTTGCCAACTACCTTTCTAAATTTTTTTTAATCTGCGATACGTTACTTGGAAATTCCAAAAGCTTTTACGATTCATTAACAGACGCGTTTCTGACTCCACAAATCAGTCCATACTACAGCAAGTCTTGAAAATAATAAAAAATGTCAAGGTGAGTCATTCAATGAAAGTTAACAATTTAGAATGAACATCTGTAGGTACGTGACGCGGACAGTCGTGATGTCCGTGATGTCAGTGATGTCAGTGATGTCAGTGATGCCAGTGATGTCAGTGATGTCAGTGATGTCAGTGATGTCAGTGATGCCAGTGATGTCAGTGATGTCAGTGATGGATAAAACGTGTACTGACGACGTGCGGCGGCTTCAGTATGTTGATGAACTCTGAGGTCTGCTGGTAGTCAGTGTGCGCGGAGAAGGAGATGTAGTCCACCGACATCTTCAGCGGCAGCTTCTGTCCCGACATCGAGGTTATCTCCTCCGGCTCCGACAGGATCGTCTTCGCCAACGTGCCCTCCACGCAGTACCCTGCGCCACAACATATACCGAATAACCAAACCAAACTTCTTTCTTCTTCAAAAAATAATATATTAGAAAAAAAAATTCGCCCTTTATCAACAATGGGAAAACTGCAATAGTACGAAATATGTTGTGTGTGTACGGATGATGTATGGACCTGCAATGATGACACCGTTCTTGGGGTCCGTGCACCAGGACTCGAAGAGCTCACGCGACAGCCCGGACTGCATCATGCCTGGCGACGCCATGATCACACACGGACCGATGTCTTCGAAGTGATCGATGCCCTGTAAAATATCGTTCTCAAAAATTGCTAATCACCATATACATAGTTATAATTTTAGTGCTTTTCAATATCTTGACATTTTTTAAATAAGG